TAATGTGGTTGTTGTGATTTTGATAGGAGATGAGGCAATATGTGATTATCTTATATTCATGCTGCGACCGTACCATTGGTTATATATTATTTATGTGCATAGTAGTGAGCATTATTTTTCTCTTGTGCTCACTCCCACCTGCTCTTCGCGGATGCAGGTTAAGCAGGTGCCGGATGACGGAGGATGACGAGTGGGTCGATGGTTTAATATGTTTTTATGATTATGCTTCCGTTCATGAAAAAAATGTGGTGACTGAGAACCTCTTTTTATTGAGATGCTTTGAACTATTTTCAAAACGTATTTTGAGAACTTATGGTCAAATGATTGGTTTTGGATATTTATAAAGGTATTGTCTTTTGAATTTTATGTGCATGCTATAGTGTTTAGCAAATATCCATGTGGAGTTGGGTTTTGAAAGGTTAATGAAAACCATGTGAACAACCAGATATGACTTGGTTGATGTTTATTGTTGTATAACGCCCATGATTTCAAAAATGAGTTTCGAAAATTTTATACTGATTTTTGGAAAGTTCGGAATTTCTTTAAAATCAAAGTGGGGTGTTACAGTTTGGTATCAGAGCCAGTCTGCGTTTCTGTAGACTGGCACACATGTGATTATGTGTTTAGACCTTGTGTTACGACCACTTGTCTCCGTCACTCCGCGCTGCTTAAGGTATGTTTTGATTTAAGTACTTGTGATAAATTAATACACTTGTAGTAATGAAACTACTCGTGATGAACTTGTGAACCACTTGTTATCTATGGGGCTTAGGATCTATCCACCTTGAATTAATCGAACTCTAGTGTTTGTGGCGAACTCTAGACTTCTGATGTATTATTGTTTGTTTTCTGTGATAACCTTGCTTAGCTTATTCAATGTAGAAGTATGAATACTCGCCACCGTAACCGTCAGCCATCCCCATCTCCTTCTCCTCCTCGTCGTCAGCGCCAGGCCCCTCCGGCCATGGACCTCACTCAGCTGATTGTTCAGTTTCAGCGCATGAATGCGCCTACTTTCTCGGGGAAAGAGAACCCCACAGCTGTGCTTGAGTGGATGAAGGAGCTGGACAAAATATTTGATGTACTCTCCCTTCCCGACCGTCAGCGCGTGTCTCTTGCGGTGTATCAGATGAAAGAAGACGCCTCAGATTGGTTGATTGAGCTTTGGTCTCGGAGGCCCGAGGCGGAGCTTCATGCTCTCACTTGGGAGCAAATGAAAGTGATGGTGCGCAGTAAGTTCCTCCCTCAGAGCTTTTGGGACAGAATGGAGTACGAATTCTATCACTTACAGCAGGGCAGTTCCTCGGTGGATGAGTACATCCGCACTTTCACCCGTATGTGCCTTTTTGCGGGTGATGCGGTGAACACTGATGCTAAGAAGGCCCGGAAGTTCCTCAAGGGTCTCAACCAGAGGATTCGCGAGTTAGTGGGAAGCCATGGACCGATGTCTTATGCTGATACCATGAGCCGAGCCCAGGAGGTGGAGAGCTGCCTCATTCCAGTTGCTCCCATTCCATCTTATCCTCTTGCCTCTCAGCCTCCTCAGGCTATCCAGTACGCTCAGCCCATCTCGA